GATACTGGGCAGCTGATACATAATTGAATAGAGTTGAATAGAGTTTTACTTGTTGCTATTCAACTTTAGGTTAGTTAAATATAGTTAACGAGTACAGTAACTGAACCCATCTAGAGTAATCCCAGTAAAGAAAAACACGGTAGTTGGAACAGGCAATAATTGAAATATAGTTATTTAGTTAGTTAAATTAGAAATCAAAATACAAAAAGAAAAACTGAATAAACCCCGTAAATATCAACAACACTTCATCTGAGGAAATAGGCATGAGTGTAGACGAGGCTATAACATCGTGTGAATTGCGAGAGGGTTGGAAACCGTGTGAAATCACAAGATATTCCTCGTACTTTAAGCTCTATGTAAATTAAAAGAATGACAGTCAGTCCCTTATGGTGGATAGTATGGTACTGCTGACACGAACTTAATTTCCCACTTGTTGAATATTACTGAAGATGATAGCCTTAATAAGTTTGTCATAAAATTCAAAATATACATGCATGATCAGTTATATTCGACTGACAGTTTTTGTGCACGGATTTAATACAATCAGTTGACGACTCCAACATTATAAAATGCACAATACTTGATTGTAAAAAATTTAAAAGCAAAAATACAATTAAACACTTTTCTGTAGAAAATGTTCCACCATTCTCAAGCAAAACATTTTCCACCGAAATATGTAGAGTTTTTAATTGTACATTTGCCTTTAACTTTTTATAATAAATTATTGTGTATGTCAAAACGTTGGAATCGTCAACTGAACGTATTTAACAAATTCGTGATACGAACAAACGTATTCAACATCGAAATATTTACAACAACTTGAATTCACATAAAATACATTATATGTTAAATACCTTTTGCTGAAATACACGATATACCAAAGCTGTTTCGAAGATTATATGTTAGTACATTGTATTGTAGTAAATCACATGAAGTTTTGAATGTTAAAAAAAAATAACAACGTAAGGCCTTCCAGTCCTTCACTGGAAACAATATTTAATTCAAAATTTACTCGACAGGTGTGATCCATAACAATAATGAAGTATAGTTTATGTAAATATTTCCTATTGACGGGTAGATTTAAACCAATGAAATGCTATACGACATTAAACGTAACAGTTCTAATACAGCTCCATCAAGTACAAACAGACTGAACAAGAAGTGAAATGATTCAGAATAAGCCCTAAAAGCTTGGTGTAAAGTAACGAAGGACGTATAAGATTAATTTAGAAAAAACAGACCCTACAAACTTGGTAAAAAATAACTACAGATGGTGTAAGATGAATTTAGGAACAATAGGATGTGCAAAGCTAGATCAGGTAACGACAGGTCTTGCAAGATGATTTTAGGAACAATAAACATATAAAGCTGGATTCAACATCAATTGCGGCGTGCAAAAAACAGGCAAAATAAAAATGGGTAAGACTCGAATCTTTGATAAATTTTGCTTCTGGATTATGCACTTTTGAAAGATTTACTCAAAGTAAAGTCTCGAATCTTATAGTAAATTAAACACAGTATAAGATATAGATTTTATCCACGTTAAATGTGTTAATTAAAAGGTTTAATGCATCAAAATCCTGCATGGATTTCAAGCTGATTTACTCCCGGCAATAACAAAAAGGTAAAAAGAAAGAAAAGTGGGAAGAATATTGAGTGAGTCCCGAATGATTTATTAATTTTCAAATTGCCAAAGTCCGCAAGAGATAAAGAAAACGACGGAGAGCCCAAAGTAGAATATTATTATACTTATTCTAGAAGTACAACCACGTTACTCACAACAAGATCAGAT